GTCTTTGCTTTCTTTAGGCATGGGTTATTTAGTATTTCAGAACTCGATTTTCAAGCATATCTTTAGGTTTTTTTTTTCAGATATTTTCTGTTACTAATCTCCACCCTAATTGCAATCTTTATTTCATTCTATGCAGTTAAAGAGGGCGTTTTTAAAATGATTTTGTTTATTTATTTTAGAGAGAGCATGAGGGGGGAGGAGTAGAGGGCTAGAGAGAGAGAATCTCAAGTCAGACGCTCAACCTACTGAGCCACACAGGCGCCCCTAAAGAGTTTCTTTTTTTTTTTTTTTATGGTTCTGTATATTGTCAGTTTTATACATAGTCAGTTTGTGCTAAAAAGCAAACCTCCTCTAGTCAGTGTCTACAGGTCTGTATGTATCCTTCAGGTCAGGTTTGTCCATCTTGGTTTGTGAAATCTAATGGAAAATTACCATTATACCTGCTTTTTAAAAATCATAGTAAAATATCCCAGATTTAACTCTTTATTCTTATAGTAAAATTGTTGTTTTTTACATAGTTTGGAATTGATGTTAAGAATTGTATACAAATTAGGGGCGCCTGGGTGGCTCAGTCCTTAAGCGTCTGCCTTCAGCTCAGGTCATGATCCCAGGGTCCTGGGATCGAGCCCCGCATCGGGCTCTCTGCTTCGCAGGAAGCCTGCTTCTCCCTCTCCCACTCCCCCTGCTTGTGTTCCCTCTTTCGCTGTGTCTCTGTCAAATAAATAGAAAATCTTAAAAAAAATTGTATACAAATTTTAGGGGCACCTGTGTAGCTCAGTCGGTTAAGCATCTGACTTCAGCTCACAGTCCTGGGATTGAGCCCCATGTCTGGCTCCATGCTCAGCATGGAGTCTGCTTGTCCATCTCCCTTTCCCTCTCTCCCTCCCCCTCCTTGTTCTCTCTCTCTCTCTCAAATAAATAAAAATTTTAAAAATTGTATACAAATTTTACAGGGCCCCTGAGTGGCTCAGATGGTTCAGCGTCTGCCTTCAGCTCAGGTCGTGATCCCAGGGTCCTGGGATCAAGCTCCGCAGGAAGCCTCCTTCTCCCTCTCCCTCTGCCTGCTGCTTCCCCTGCTTGTACACACTCTCTCTGTCAAAAATAAATAAAATCTAAAAAAAAAAAAAAATTGTGGCGCACCTGGGTGGCTCAGATGGTTAAGTGTCTGCCTTTGGCTCAGGTCATGATCCCAGGGTCTTGGGAGCGAGCCCCACATTGGGCTCCTGGCTCAGCGGGGAGCCTGCTTCTCCTTCTGCCTCTGCCTCTCTCCCTGCTCATGCTCTCTCTTTCTCTGTATCTGTGTCTCAGATGAATAAATAAAATCTTAAAAAAAATTGTGTACAGGGCGTCTGGGTGGCTCGGTTGGGCGACTGCCTTCGGCTCAGGTCATGATCCTGGAGTCCCGGGATCGAGTCCCGCATCGGGCTCCCTGCTCGGCAGGGAGTCTGCTTCTCCCTCTGACCCTCTTCCCTCTCATGCTCTCTCTCATGCTCTCTCTCTCAAATAAATAAATAAAATCTTAAAAAAAAAATTGTGTACAAATTTTAAAGTATGTCTTCCAGTTGTTTTCTTCCTTATATCTTTTTTTCCAATACAAATACACATTTCTGTGTTTTTGTGTAATAATTATTAGATATAGGGGTGCCTGGGTGACTTAGTTGGTTAAACGTCCAACTCTTGATTTTGGCGTCATGATCTCAGGGTTGAGAGATTGAGCTCAGTGCAGAGTCTGCTTGGAATTCTCTCCTCCCTCTGCCCCACCCGCACCCCCACCCCCCCATCCCTGCTCACTCTGCCTCTCAAATAAATAAAATCTTTAAAAATAATTACAAGATGTGTATTTCTCAAACTTTTATTTCATTTATGTAACATCATATCTTAGAAGTATGACATATACGGCGCCTGGGTGGCTCAGTTGGTTAAGCGACTGCCTTCGGCTCAGGTCATGATCCTGGAGTCCCTGGATTGAGTCCTGCATCGGGCTCCCTGCTCGGCGGGGAGTCTGCTTCTCCCTCTGACCCTCCCCCCTCTCATGTGCTCTCTCTCTCAAATAAATAAAATCTTTTAAAAAAAAAGTATGACGTATAAAGTAATTATTGTGGGATATCTTTCAACCCACCAAAAATAACTGATTACTAATTCAACCATTTATTCCATATTCATTTCATGTGATGGCTGGGATATTTGGGTTCAAATGCATCTTCCTATTTTGTTCTTATTTTTGCTTCAGTTCTGTTTGTTATACTTTCCTTTTAAAAATTTGTATAGATTATTTGCTTTCCTTTTTTATTATTATTTTATGTTAATCACCATACATTAGTTTTTGATGTAGTGTTCCATGATTCATTGTTTGCGTATAACACCCAGTGCTCCATGCAGAACGTGCCCTCTTTAAATACCCATCACCAGGCTAACCCATCCCCCCACCCCCTCCCCTCTAGAACCCTCAGTTTGTTTCTCAGAGTCCATAGTCTCTCATGGTTCGTCTCCACCTCCTATTTCCGCCCCCTTCATTCTTCCCCTCCTGCTATCTTCTTCTTCTTTGTTTTTTTTTTTTTTAACATATAATGTATTATTTGTTTCAGAGGTACAGGTCTGTGATTCATCAGTCTTACACAATTCACAGCACTCACCATAGCACATACTTGCTTCTCCCTCTCCCTCTGCCTGTTGCTTCCCCTGCTTGTACACACTTTCTGTCAAAAATAAATAAAATCTAAAAAAAAAAAAAAAATTGTAGGGCGCCTGGGTGGCTCAGATGGTTAAGCATCTGCCTTCGGCTCAGGTCATGATCCCAGGGTCCTGGAATCGAGTTAATGTCCCCAATGTCTATCACCCAGCCACCCCATCCCTCCCACCCCCCACCACTCCAGCAACCCCCAGTTTGTTTCCTGAGATTAAGAATTCCTCATATCAGTGAGGTCATATGATACATGTCTTTCTCTGATTGACTTATTTCACTCAGCATAATACCCTCTAGTTCCATCCACGTCGTTGCAAATGGCAAGATTTCATTCCTTTTGATGGCTGCATAATATTCCATTGTTAGATTGCTTTCTAAACATTGCTTTTAGTTGGGAATGTATATGGTCCTATTTTATTAATGTTTAAGGTAAAAATTATAATACATGTCTGTAACACAACAGAATATAGTGTTACTACCTTTACCCTTTTCTTGAACAATATAAGGGGTATTATTGAGGACTGCATGGTAATTCTATCATTCTACTCAACAAGGAGATATTGTTCATGTGTTATTCAGATAGTGAATAATTGTATTAATCCACAGATGTATCTCTCTCTTGGATCTTCATTCCTTCCATCAGTGCAGACCTTTTACCTAGGATCACTTCCTTTAAATATAAACCTGATTCATTTTATATGGCTTAGTTTGCTATTATATTTTTCATTTTAGGTTTCATACAGTCTTATTTTATGTTCTTTCTTGAAAAATACTATTTTGTGAAGTATAGAAATCTGTGTGGACGATTATTTTTTTGGCACCTTCACTGTGTCATTCCATATGTTCCTGACCCACCATATACTGGATATGAGTGGAAGCAATTTACTTTGTGTTGATAGTTTCCTAATGTTAAGGAACAGTATTTGAACAACACACTGTAGAGACTGTAACGGGGAGATGGCCTCAGTAATTACATGGGGTTTGAGTTGGAACAATAAAAAAGTGACAGTGTAGAATGCATAGGAGAAATAATAAAGTATATATCTGATGACCAAATTGATGGATTATGACATAAGGTGGCTGGATGCTTACTAGTCCCGTTTGCTCTGTCTGGACACCTGGGAGGATGGCATGTCTCAGCTCTCCTTAAACTTCTTTTGGGACCATGTGAGTGAGCTGTGGCCAACTGGATATAGGCAGAAGTGATGGTAAAATTGTGCCTTAATTGTTCTCACACTTGTGCACAATTCTGGGAATAGTCTCATTGGATCTAGATTTCACAGCGCCCCAGGATTTTGTACTCCTTTGGGGGCTGCAAGTTCAGGTGATGGTCTGACGGTGACACTGTTTTGATAAGGACAGGGCATGATGACCTAAAGCTTGAGCTTCATGATCACGTATTTGTACCTAGGCCTACCTGCCCTCAGCATCAGAAGGGCAGGACGAGGTGACGAAGGTCCTGGTTACTGTGAACTAGATGACAGGTCATGTCACAAAATTGAGACCAGGTCAGCTCCACTCTCCACTTAACCCTGACAGCCGCTAGTCATGATGCTGCCGAGATCTGAGTCCTGTGCCCTGTAGTAATGCATGTGTTGGGCAACTTGCCTCCCTGTAGTTTAAGAAACTCTCCTGCCACGCTGTTTAAGAAATAACTAAATAAGCCAAATAGTTCAAGCTGTGCTTTTATGTGAAATTTTTAATCAGTACCTGTGAGGCTACTTTCCGGTGAAGAAGTCATTGTAGATTGTTTCGATAATGCCAAGGATCCTGCGAAGAGGCAAGCCCGACCTCGCCAACCCCAGCAGGGTATGTTAATGCCAACTCCTAGTTACTTAATGAGAACGAACCACGTGAAAGGCACTTGAAATCCCCCGAGCGACCTAGCTCCCGTTCTAGTCTCGGTAGAGCCACGGTTCCCGAACCTGGGAGCAGCGGCAGGATTCCTTACTGCAGCGCTGAGCCGCCGCCGCAGTTTCCCGCATCCGGGTCGGGGCGGGCCGCAGAGGTCCCCGGGTCCTGCGACGCCTGGCTTCTGGGGGCGGGGCTCCACGCCTCGCCCGCGGGAACTGGGGTGCTTCTCTTCACGGGGAAACCTGGCTCGACTTATTTCCCCGCGCGCTCCGGCTGACCCTTGTCGTCGCCGTGAAGACGGGACTGGCGCACGCGCCGGGGCGCCGGCGCGCTTACACTACATTACCCAGAAGCGGGGGCTAGGCGCTTCCGCCCCGAGCGACGGGCCGCAGAGCGCCGGGGAGGGGAGCTTCCTGTGCGCCGGGGCGGGACTTCCGTCCGCGGCGCAGGAGCGCATCCCTTGGTGAGCGGCGGCTGGTCGGGCCACGACCACGTGGACTGGAGCGCGCACCGGGCCAGTCCGGGCCGCGCGGGGCAGGAGACTGACGTGGCGGGGACCGCCTCCGCGCCCTGGGCGAGCCGTGACGCCCCGGCGTCGGCCGCATCTCCCCGAGACTGTGCCCGGCTGTGGGACGGGCGCCGCCGGCTCTGCCCCTTCCCTGAGGTCCCCTCGCTCCGTCGCCCGGGCCCCCGAAGGCGGCAGCCGGGGCCTTGCGAGCATCTCACACCATCTTACAGCGAAGCTCGGAGCGCGACACGCAGCCGCAGGCGACCCCGCCCCAGCTGAGCCCTCGGGACCCACCCTGGTCGCCCGACCCTCGGGCCCTGCTCAGCCCAACCGGACCCCTGGCGTGGCAGGGGCGGCAGCACGGATGAATACGGCGCAGGTGAGTGGAGGGTCACCCAGCCTCCTCCCCGCCATCCCCCGCCACGTCTCACCCTCATGGTCACCGTTCCTCCTTATGGCGGATGGTGGTGGTGGGACTATTATCTCCCGTTTTCTTGGTCGTGGAGTCCCTGGGGGAGGTCACTTGTGGCCGCGCATCCGGAGCCCAGGTCAGGTATTACATGGGTATGTTCCCGATCAGGGCGGCCAGTGGAAGGGTGACCGAGTCACGGGAACAGGCTTGTGCCAGTGCTTGGAGGTGAGATTGAGTTGGGAGTGAGCAGGGTCTCCATGGCGTCTTAAGGGGAATAGAGAGCAGTGGAATGGCAGCCCCGGACGCTGGGCCTCTCTTCTGGGAGTTTGGAGCTGAGGACGGAGGTGGTTTGACACAGATTTCGTTCAGCAGGCTTCCCCTGGCTACAGAGTGGAGACTGGAAGTGAGGGAGGAGGTAGGGAGACTCGGGAGGAATGTGACCTGCGAGTTTTAAGGCCCTAGTACTGGGGGCTTATGGAAGAAGGCTGAGCCCAAGTTTGCTTTTGTCTGGGAGGCATGGTCTGAAGGACACCGGGAGAACTGGCCAGCTAGAGAGTTTGGTGCCCCTCATGGAAGACCCACAGCTTGCACAGTATTTATCTGTCCACCTGCCTGGCTCCAGGCCGCACACAGTGATCAGACAGACATGAGGAGAGAGCAGGTGCTGGTGGTACCAAAGCCTGGTATCTGCTCTGAGGTGGGAGGCTAGGAGGAGAGGGACCAGGGGTGGTTGTGTGAGTGGACAGACAGGTGACCCCTGTGGCCTGTGGGCTCAACTGTCCCCCGTCGTGACAGGGCTGTGTGACCTTCGAGGATGTGTTCGTGTACTTCTCCCGGGAGGAGTGGGAGCTCCTTGAGGAAGCTCAGAGACTCCTGTACCGTGATGTGATGCTGGAGAACTTTGCACTTGTGTCCTCACTGGGTAAGGCCCTGCTTTAGTTATCTGTTGCTACATGGCAAGTTATCCCAAAGCTCAGTGGGATGAAGACAAACACTTATTATCTCAGTCTCTGTGGGTCAAAAATCAGGCATATCGTACTTGGGTACCTCTAGGCTCAAGGTCTTTCACAACCTTGCTGTCAAGCTGTCCAAGTTTGCTGTCTCATCTGAAGGCTCAACTGGAGGTGAATCTCCTTTCAAGGTCATGCCCCTGAGTCAGAGGCTGTTGGACTAATTAGTCATTTTCTTGCTGGCCTTTGGCCAGAGCCCTCCCTCAGGGTCTTGCCATGTTGTCTTCTCCATATAAGCAGATCACAACAAGGCAGCTGATTTCCACCAGCATGAGTAAGAGACAGCATCCAACGTAGAAGCTGGTATTTTCATAATTTATTTTCAGAAGTGACATCCTATCATTTTTGCCATATTCTGTTCATTAAAAAGAAGTTTTAGGTTCAGCCCACATTCAGCTGGAAGGACTTACAAGGACATGGATACCAGAGGATAGGTATGAGTCCCAATTTCCTGGGCTGAGTTTTGTTCTTCCCCTTTTTTCCCAAATGGCAGCTGTCTGTCTGACAGTACTCTCATGGCACGACCCCTTTCCTTGGCTTCCTGGAGTAGGTGGTGGGTCCCAGGGCTGGACAGTGGGCACTAGCTCCTCTTCTGCAGCAGCCCCAACCTCTCCTCTCCCAAAGCTTTGAAATGAAGGATTTGGGGGTCAGGAGTCTTGGGGTCTGCCCAACAGATCCCAGATGGCCTGGCCACACCTTGACTGGGTATCTGTCCAAACCCCTGGTCTCTGCCCACATTCTTACCCCTTCTTCTAGTTGACTTTTCCTGGGGCCTGACTGTTCCAGGAATTGCAGGCACCAACGTGGTCATTCCTTGTGAAGAACAGTGAGCTGTTCCTGCAAGACACTTTTCTAAGATTCTTCTTAAAATATTTAATCTTTTCTGTGGAGAGCATTGCTCTGGGGTGCTGCCAGCCACTCAGCAGCTCTTCTTTCCCTTTAGGACTCGCCGTTTCCAGGTCCCATGTTGTTACCCACATGGAGCCGGAGGGGAGCCCAGGGTGCCTGAGAAGGTAAACACAGCTCCAGCTACAGCAAAGCAGATCTGGAGGAGGCCTGGCCCTGGTGAGTAGAAGCCATGGGGACGGTCGCCTCAGGGCTGGCTTCACATTATACCAGCAACCCCTGTTGTATCTCCTAGTATTCTGATGCCAGTACCCGTGGCTGACCTCATCCCCCTTTTCTTTCCCCATTTGGATGCTTTGCCCACTGTCATTTCTACTCTGATCTCAGTTACCTGTTAGTTCTTCCCCTCTGCCCGCCATCTCCATGTCATTTCTTTTCTTGGTACTCTGCAGCATTGGCTTTCATTTAATATGTCATGAGTTGTGCTCACATCCTTCAGTTTTCCTTGAAAACTAAGTATTGCGTGCCAGCCAGATTCTCCTGGCCCTGGGCAGACCCTTTTGCACAGCACTCACCTATCACAAGGAATGAGGCCTTGCTGGGAGACCATTGGCAGAGGAGTGATTTGGAGACCCTGCCCCTCCTCATACTGCACTCCGTTCTTGTACCCTCTCCCTGTGAGGTCTTCTTCATTCTCTGACCTTTAGAGGCCTGCAGCGCACAGCTTCCCTTTCTCATCCTGATTCTACTCCCATGTTCTGCATGCAGTCCCTTGGACTCGTTCCTGGTTGTATCCCACAGCATGTGTTATGGCCTGCCACTTGCCACCAATTAAACTTGAACTTAACCCGCATTTATCTTCCTTCAGGTTGATGGCATGGAGTGAAGGATGAGGCTGCGCATTCTAAGCGGGGTGTTTCTGTGAGTGTCACAGATGGGAACTCCCAAGGCAGGTCCTTCCACCCGAAAGGTTCATCCCTGTGATATGTGTGACCCAGTCTTGAAAGACATCTTTGCACCTGGCTGAGCCACAGGGAACACCATCTGAGCAGCAGGAGAGACTTCTGGTGTAGTATAAATCTTGACCAGATGCAGAAGCCGCAGAGTTGAGAAAGTTTCTTCAGAAAGGAAGGGAGCCAGGCTTCATTTGTGAAGATCTGCAGATCCCATGTGTTGGAGAAGGCTTCTACTTGCAGGGAGGGTGGGAAGAACTTTGTGGGCAGCTCTGGACTTATCCGGCACCAGGCTTCTCGCAGCAGGGAGAAACCACACAGGGGTCCTGAGTGTGGGGAGGCCTTTTGTGTATCAGATTTCCTTTAGGCAAGAAAGCACAACCCGAGACCATAAGCCTTCTCTTTGTTGGAGGCAGCCTCACTCCAGGGTTGATTGACTCAGAGCATCTCAAGGGACTCTTGGTTGTGGTGAACCGGGGAACAAGGGCCATTGGAAATGCAGGAAAGGCACCTGACCCTGGGACACTTTCCCACAAGGAGAGTCTTCCCAGGAAGGTGAGCTCTAAGCACATTGGTGTGGGAACAGCTAATCTGCATTCAGGACTTTCATGAGAGTGAGTCTCTCGGGGAGGGCGGTGCTTTCCATGAACCACTCACATGGGCCACAGAAAGCTTCCATGGTCTATGGGCAGAATTTCTACAAGTGGAAGTTTAACAAATGTTGGCGTGGTTTCGACATCAGCAGATCATGCTGAGGGAAGCTTGTGACCACAGCGAAGGTGAGAAAACCTTTCTTGAGGGATTTACACTGAGCGAAGCCAGGTCAGGATTTACAGTGAGCGAAGCCAGGGCAGGATTTACACTGAGCGAAGCCAGGGCAGGGTTTACACTGAGCAAAGCCAGGGCAGGATTTACACTGAGCGAAGCCAGGGGAGTACTTCCAAGTGTGGGAAGGCCTTCAGCTGCAGGTCAGACCTCATGCAGCACCAGCAGATTCACAATGGGAGAGGCCTTGTGAATGCAAGGAATGTGGGAAAGTCTGGGACAGCTCTGCTTTTGTCCAAAATAATTTCCCCCACCCAAGAGAAAGTCTCTTCAAGTACAAAGTATGTGGGTAAACCTTTGGTGACAGCTGTTTTCTCACTCATCATGTAGGGTTTTCCCAGGAGAGAAGGCCTGAGTGCAGTGATGTGGGAAGGCCTTCATTCACCATTTTTATTTCTGGCATTAATAGCATCCGCACTGGGGTAAAATCCTTTGAGTATAAAGATCTGAGAGCCTCTTGTGACCGCTCTTCCCTAACTCTACACGAGGAGTCACGGTGGGGAAAACCTTGTGGATTCAGTGAATGTGAACACACTTTCAGCTTTCGTTCATCCCTCACGCACCCCCTAAGTGTTCATACTGGGGAGAAACCCTGTGAGTGTAAGAGATGTGGGAAAGCCTTTTGCAAGTGGACTTAACTCAGTCAGTACCAGAGAACTCATACTGGGGAGAATGTAACTCCTGAGGAAAATGTTTGCCAGAGGAAACCTCTTGCTCGGCATCTGAGAAATTATACCAAAGAGAAACCCTGTAAGTGTCATCGTGAGAAAATCTTCTGAAGCAGATCATAACTTACTGTCTTCTAAAGGGTCATATTGGAAGTTGACTCAGCTTGGACCTTACTCTACAAATGAGAATTTAAAAAGGAGAGGAAACTAGTGGTTATTGTGCAGTTTCAAAACCTTCAGCTACAGCTCAGTGTTAGTATGCGCTGAAAAGCAATCATGGACTATTTTTAAAAAAGAGAAAAGGCATAAGGGAGGAGGAAGAAAAGATGTCGATGTAACAGAAAAAGGAATGCATTCATGGTTTCTTTCAGGTTTCCCTACAAACCCATGACAATTTGTTTTCAGTTGTTTTTGTTTGGGGTGGCAGGTGGGAGCAAAGGGGCCTCATCCCTTCACCTGACTTAATATACATTCACTGCCATTCTGTGACAGGAGAGCTGGATACTTGACAGCATCTAAACAAATATTTATCGAAATCCTTCTTTGTTAAAAAACAGACTCAACTAGTAAGGGTCATTTAGTCTTTGTGATAAATGTGAAGTCATAATTTATGAAACATTTAAAAGAAATTAGAACACTAAAAATATTGTCACCTAAAATTATTTCATATGTAAGGGGCTAAGGACATATATATGAATGGGTACATTTTCTGCACCATTTAAGACCATTTAGTTAAGGCTTCAGTTATTTATTCACTTATTTATTCTTCATTGAGATATAATTGACATATAACATCATGTGAGATTAAGGTGTACAACATTGATTTGATGAATTTATATTGCAATATGATTGCCATTGTAGCATTAACTCCTATATCCTAGTGGTATCCTGTGTTCCTCGTGGTAGGAACAGTTAAGACCTAGTCTCTTGCCAAGTTTCATGTTTTTAATATAGTTTTGTTCCTTGTAATCCCTTTACTGTGTCTTAGATCTTCAGGATTTATTTATCTGCTAGTTGCAAGTATGTACCCTTAAACAACATCCCCCCACCCAAGCCTTTGGTAACCATCATTCCACTCTCATTTGAGTTCAGTTCTATTCCACATATAAAAATATATAGTATTTGTCTTTCTGTGTTTGACTTATCTCACTTAGCATAATGTCCTTAAGGGCCATCCTTATTGTCGTAAATGACAGCATTTCCTTTTTTCTCAGAGCATCTCAAAGGACTGAATAATATTCCGTTGTACATATGCCACATCTTCTTTATCCTTTGATGGACACTTAAGTTGTTACCATATCTTGTCTCTTGCGTACAATGCTACAATAAACATGAGAGTGCAGATATCTCTGAGATCCTGTTTTCATTTCGTTTGGATATGTATATACCCAGAAGTGGGATTATTGAACCATATGGTGGTTTGCTTTTTAATTTTTTTAAGGTTATTTCCTTATTTATTTGAGAGAGAGAGTGAGCACAAGCAGGGGGAGCGGAAGGCAGAGGGAGAAGCAGGCTCCCCACTGAGCAGAGAGCCCAGACCTGAACCAAAGTTAGATGCTTAACTGACTGAGCCACCCAGGCACCCCTTTTTTAAAATTTATTTATTTATTTATTTATTATTTATTTATTTTTGGTGGGCAGCAAAAGCAAGGTTCATTGAGTGATAGCAAAGTGATAGTACAAAGCTCCAAGGAGGGAGGGGACCCCAGAAGGTAGCCCCTATTTTTAGTTTTTTGAAGAACCTCCATATTTTCCAAAATGACTGGACCAGTTAACAGTCCTACCAACGGTGCGCAAATGTTCCCTTTTCTCCACATATTTGCTGACATTTACCTCTCATCTTCTTGATACTCGCCTTTCTGACAAGTGTGAGGTGATAATCTCATTGTGGTTTTCATTTGCATTTTCCTGATGATTAGTGATATTGAGCACCTTTTCTTGTACCTGTTGGCCATTTGGATGTCTTTGGAAAGATGTTTGTATAGTTCCTCTGCCCACGGGTTAATCAGATTGGTTTTTTTGTTATTGACTTACATGAGTTCTTTATAAAATTTTGGGTATTAGCCCCTTATCTGGTAACATGGTTTGCAAATATTCTCTCCTATTCCATAGGTTGCCTTTTTATTTTTTTTAATTGTTTCTTTTGCAACGCAGAAGATTTTAAGTTTGATATAGTCCGACTTGTTGATTTTTTTCTTTTGTTTGTGCCTTTGGTATCATATCCAAAAAATCATTGCCAAAACTACTGTCTTGGAGCTTCCCTTGTTTTCTTCTAAGAGTTTTATAGCATCAGGTCTATGTTTAAGTCTTTGATCCATTTCAAGGTAATTTTTGTGAGTGGTGTAAGATAGGGATCCAATTTCATTTTTCTGCATGGGATTATCCAGTTTTCCAACACCGTTTGTTGGAGAGACTATCTTTTCCCCATTTGATATCCTTGGCTCTCATCAAATACTAGCTGACTGTATATGTGGGGTTTTAATTGTGTCTCTTTATTCTGTTCCGTTGGTCTATTTTTAGCCAATACTATACTGTTTGGGTTACAATAGCTTTCTAATATAGTCGAAATCAGGAAATGTGGTGCTACCTGTTCTTTCTCATGATTGTTTTGGCTATTAGGGGTCTTGCAGTTCCATACAAATTTTAAGATTGTTTCTTCTATTCCTGTGAAAAGCGCCATTGGAATTTTGATAGGGATTGTGTTGAATCTGTAGATAGCTTTGCATGGCATGGACATTTTAACAGTATTATTTTTTCTAATCTATGAACACAAGATATCCTTCCATTTGTGTCTCATTTCTTCCAACAGAATCTTATATTTTTCATTGCACAGATCTTTCACTTCCTTGGTTAAATTCACTCCTAGGTATTTTGTTTTTGATGCTACTTTGAATGAGATAGGTTTTTCCCCCCCAGATGTTTCATTGTTATTGTATAGAAACGCAAATGATTTGTGTGTATAAATTTCATATCCAGCAACTTTACTGAATTCACTGATTAGATCCAACAGTTTTTATTTGAGTCTTTTGGATTTTCTTTTTTTTTTCCTTTTTTAAATACTTTATTTATTTATTTGTCAGAGGTAGAGAGCACAAGCAGGGGCAGGCAGAGGGAGAAGCAGGCTCCCTGCTGAGGAAGGAGCCCGATGCAGGACTCAGTCCCAGGACCCTGGGATCATGACCCGAGCTGAAGGAAGATGCTTAACCAACTGAGCCACCCAGATGTCCCTGGATTTTCAATATAAGAATATATCATCTGCAAATAATGACAGTTTTACTTCTTTCTTTTTCAATTTGGATACCTTTTAATTTCTTTGTCTTGCCTAATTGCTCCAGCTAGGATGTCAGCACTATGTTGAGTAAGAGTGCTGAGCGAAATCTTCGATTAAAAAAAACAAGCCTTTTCTTCATGTCATTTTAAACATCCAGTCTGCTCACTTTTCCTTAATCCAGATTTGCATTTTTCTTTATTTTCTCTGAGGCATGATGCTAATCATGTAGCTATGTAGTCTTCCCAGGTGAGTCTTAAACCTTCCTCTGACTGGGTTTTTCACTTTTTTAAATCTTTTGAGGGACTTCTCCAAGTCCACCTCAGTACTTTTCCGGGGTCAGATTAGGGCTAAAACAGTAAACCACACATTCCAGTTAAATTCATGATAAACTCTGGGGGCGCCTGGGTGGCTCAGTTGGTTAAGCGATTGCCTTCGGCTCGGGTCATGATCCTGGAGTCCCGGGATCGAGTCCCATATCGGGCTCCCTGCTCAGTGGGGAGTCTGCTTCTCCCTCTGACCCTCTTCCCTCTTGTGCTCTGTCTCTCATTCTCTCTCTCTCAAATAAATAAATAAAATCTTTAAAAAAAAAATTCATGATAAACTCTGGAGAAAAAAAAACAGATA